CGAAAATGGCCTGGTGCTTCAATGCCCACTCAGACGAGCGACAGCGCTCCTGTTTGGCAGACCAACTTGCACAAGTTCAACATGAATTTCATGATTAGCATGTTCTCCCGCCGCTCTGCCGCTAGCTGCGAATTTTGAAGGGTCCTACTTTGTCTTCGCTGCCAACACTATTCGAACAATTGATTGCTTTGCATGGCAGATCTTATCATCGTCGTCAGTATCGTCCATCATGGGCGTCGTTGCAGTAGTAGAAGTAAAAGTAGCACTAGCCCCAAGAAGCAGCAGCAGCAGCAACAGCAGCCTGCGCCAAGATAATGACGCCTGTAGCCTCCCCCGAAGCCTCAGTGGCTTGGCATAGGCACTTCAGCACTTCCTGCGTAGCATCTTCTAGGTCATCGCAAGTACTCTAGGTGCCCATGAATGCACTGACAAGGGGCATCAACTTGAGCTGTCGCGCTCATCTCCAGCATGAGGGTTTTGCCATCCTTGCTCACGAGTTCGCACCTTGTGCACTTGAGTACACTCAAGAGGAAGCAACCCAGTTTGGCCCTGACCTGATGCTCAAAGTAAGGCTTGTTGCGGCATCTTCTGATGCGTAATTGCGACCATACCCGGTGCTTGAGTATCACAACCCATTCCAATTTCAACGAGCTCAGATCTTTCATGTTGAAGGATAAGGTGGCTTTCAATATCGCGAGACTTTAGCCATCAGACTTCGCAGCAAGACGCTTATTAGGAAGAAGAGTCCACTGTTCCGAGAAACCAGCTCGAAACCGACAGTCTCCTGACCATCCAAAGTTTCCACGAACATGCTGTCCTCGGCAGAGAAGATGGATCCGGCGCAGCGTGCTGCTCCTACTACTAACAAAAATAACAATCCACCACCAACACCAGCAGCCGCCGCCGCCGTCACCACCACCACCACCACCACCGCCGCCGCCGCCGCCACCACCACCACCACCACCACCAGCACGACTACTGCTGCAACTACTAACTATCTTAGCAGCCGCCCCCAAACGGGTTAGACTCTGCTTTCTCACACAGGTAAAACGTCTTGTATTGCCAGCACTGCATGACGGAAGTGCCGCAGTCTCACCCTTTCAGCCTGTGCTTTGCATTCCCCAAGACGCGGCAGAGACAGCTTTTTGTGCGTTCTAAGAGCTGAGCACCGCTGAAAGACAAGCTTTGACGTGCCGAAATTCTACAGTTTCAACTTCTTCCGATTCCAGCTGGCAAGCATGATTTTGTGCCGCCATTGTGCTCGTCCGCCTGCCCTCTCCAGCTGTCGCTTCTGCTGCTACTGCTACTGCTACTGCTACTGCTACTGCTACTACTACTACTACTACTACTGCTACTACTACTACTACTACTACTGCTACTACTGCTACTTCTTCCCCCTCCACACGACCGCCTCAACTACTGACAACCCGAATTCCAGAAACTCTGTTCTGCTGCCAAAGCCACTACCACTTGCACTAGCGAAACGACTACTCTTCCCCTCCTCCTCCCCCTCCTCCTCCTTTGCAGACACTACAGCCAGGTCATGACGCCATTATCTGGAAGCCCAAGAATGACGTCAGCACAACGACTCAAGTGCGGGCCAGGGCGAGCTTGCTGAGGGTGGTACGAGCTTGTTGCCATCACAACAAACCAGATCGAGAAGCGGTCTGCGCAGCACCTCCTCCTTCAAGCGGATGACTCTGCGAGCAAGTTTGCGCAAGAAACTTCAAATCATGCCATGCAGGCGCGGCTTGTACAGCAGAACTGAAAATCCTTCAAAAGGTGTCCTTCTTGAAGCCGCTCATTGTCTCTGCAGACTCGTTCCAAGCAGTCACCTTCACAGACATGCGCTACTGACAATGCCACGACCTCACCAGGAAAATTGCCTGGCTGAGCGGAGTTGAAAGGACAGGAGTTTATAGAAGGGGTCGTCTGTGCCAGGCTTGCAGCAGGTCCCTTCTACGAATTTCTCATTGGAGGCAGACTAGGTCCAGACCCCACAGCCTTCCCGGCGACGTCCACAACAAGAGCAGGCGTCGGAGAAGCAGCTATCACCTGAGCAGCCCAATCGCCAGCAGGTCAGGCAGGCATATTACAAAAAATGTTGCACATGAATGTGCCAGAGGGCACTACATAGCCGTAGTGTGTTCCTGGCCCTGCCCGGGCCAGTGGGTGTTAAACCGCGCTCAGCTGCGAGATGCCACTCAAACATCTACTCAAAGCCTGAATGCAGAAAGACCTGATGAGCGCACTCAACGTAGGGAATGCTTTCTAAATCAAGAAAGCTGGCTCCAAAGGTCCCGCAGAAGCCGTCTGGGGATCGCTGCCTTTTCGAGAACTGAAATGAAGGTCTCATCGGGAGGAACCTCCTGACTTCGCCAATGTTTTTTCTGTAGGTGAAGCTGGGACATTCACGGAGCAAATCCATCACGACATGTTAGAAACCGTGCCAAAACATCTGAGGTTTCTACAGCTCATCTCCAGAACTTACTCCGATCCCTGCTTTGTCCATTTTATGAACTGTATACTCTGTATATTGCAAGCGCTGGGATGTTGGACGGAAAAAGACGAACCGGTAGTCAAGGGATAGGACAGCCGGATCTGAAATGACTGCATAGTTGCACAAATTCTGCTTCGGGTCTACAACCTCCTCCACTATGATGCCTTGTCATGTTCCGCAACCTCGTGGGCAATGCAGATCACGTCCTTCAGCAATCGCGGAACTGGGGGCCCCTTCATTTTGTGAAACCCTACACCCTATATCTCCCTATATAACCCCATAGAACCCCTATATAACACCCAGATAGTTACGCCTAAATTTGGGAAACCCCCATCAAGCAATACCCCTAAAATTCCAGTTTCCATCTAATTTTCCATGTTATTTTCCATGTGATTCTCCATTATTGGGGTAATGCACCTATATACCCCTTAAAGGACCGAGGGTTTCATTTCATGTTCTATGTTATTTTCCATTTGATTTTCCATTTTTGGTTAATGTACCTTGTTTTTGCATCAGGGCCTCATTACTGCCTGGTCATTACCTAAGCCCTAAACCCCAAACCCTACCCGATATACTCCTATATAACCCCAAAATATCCCTATACATCCCCTAAACCCTAAACCCTAAACCCTATAATCCCCTAATACCCAGCATTCCAAGCCTCCCCCTCGCCCCGCACAACTGGGTGAAGCAGAAGCCGCTGTGACCCGCCGCCTGAATCGGCTGCAGCTCTGCCCCGAACTGGGGATTGCCCAAAAATTTAGGTATTAAATAGGCGGATTTAGGGGCACAATGTAGAAGTAATGGGAAGGAAACTGAAACGAAATGGCTTGTCTAATGGTTTCTAGGCGGTTTTCTGGAGGTCCCCATGATAAGGATTATAGCATACCTGGTTCCCCAGCTTCACGGAAACTACCAAGCTCAACGTCCAAAGCTTTGGTGAGATCAACTGCCACAGGGAATGTGAAATTCACCAAGTTGAGACTGGGAAAGAACACTAAGCAGCAGATGGATGTGAGGATAGCTTGCGAGAAGGAAAGAGCGAGCGAACCTCGGATGAGCAGGTCTAAAAAAGTATGGAAGATGCTGAAGGGACAATCAACCACAATAGTCACTTACCCTTTGGCAAGGTTGTTTCTTGGAATTCCAGTTCCAAAGCCGCAACGCCGTTCGCTGTACCATACACCCTGCTGAAGGGGATTTGCTCAGCAGTCTTTCAAAACCCGTGAACGAGGACCGATGCTACATACCTTCCTTCATACCTGAAACTGGGGAGAAGCCGGCTGCACAACTGTAAAGTCAACATTGCTTTTACTATGATTATAATTCATTGCAATTGTTGTCGTTGTTATTATTGTGACAGGCATTGGTCCACAGTATTCTTGCTGAGCTGCTGGGTCCGCCCCAGTTTGGCGAGTCCAGCTGCCCTCACCCATCCCTGGTTGTTTGCCACTTTTCCCTGGTTTTTGCCTGGGGTCGAAAGTGTTCAAAGGTTTCCCAGCAGTACTCAGATGACCTTGCCTTTGACCAGCAAGTCGGCGGGAATTGGTTGCACCTCTTCGCCCTGCCGGCTTCAGTGTGGTCCACAAAAGAACAACCACTACCAACAACCACTACGAACAACCACTACACGAACACGCATGCTGCCGCCTCACCTACACGCAAGCTGCCCTGATTACAAATCTTGTCACCAAATCTGACTTGCAGAGAATTCGCAGGGCTATGACGGATGCTTGTCTTTCCGAGCACTCACTCTGCATCCAAAAGTCTATCGCTGGTCTACGGCCAAAAGTTCTGGAACCCACACACACGGAATGCAAGCCTTTCCAATTCATGAAAGGTCAAGACTCTAGTCGAGACATGTCAATACAAACGCCACAGGCCTGTCTGGCCCTGTCGAATGTCTTTGCGACCTCAACTGCTGCCCGTGTCGTCGCGTACAGATGCTGAAGCTACGTTTGCCCGAATTTTGTGATCAGCGGTCGTATCAGTCCTCGTGCTGCAACATAATCAGTAAGATCGTGGTTTCCTCCGCTTTTCCGTCATCACTACACGAGGCATATTCCGAGCATTGGAAGCACGTAGCGCGAACAGGAGAGGCGGACCCGTCATGAAAGCAACCCTGTCCAGTGCAATGACGTGGGCAGGCATTTTCCGCATCTATCTGAGGGCACGTCAGTAAGCCCAGGATCATCTTCAAAAAGGCTTGACAGCGGTCGGCCAAACACCTGCAAGTCGTAGCTGGGCCCAACCACAAAACCCAAAGCGTCTCTGAATCTGCTGCACTCTATCATCTCCAGAAGCATGGCCACAGGTCAGGAATGCATAGCAGGAACAGAGCTGTTGTCTTTTTGACACGAAGATGAAGAACAGTGCTTCACCTTGCCCACGCTTGGTCTCAGAACCTCCCGGTCGGGCATGCACAAAGGTGTTCCCACCGGTCCCATCGGTTGTTGCAAACAAGGCCACCCTTCGACAATCCTCGCAACTACAGGGTCAGTCAGGTACCCACCTTCTTGGCCTTCTTTCCATTGTGCGAGTGCTGTGGCAGCAAGGACTTAGATGTGGCGATTTCCTCTGAGATGATGCGTGGCAAACAGCCGACCTTGACCGTAGCAGCTGGCAGCAGGCTGCCAATTTGCACCATGACCTCCAGAGTATTCCAGAGTTGCAGACATGGGCGGCTTGAAGGTTAATGGCTTTGGTGCTGATTGCATCCAAGAAGCGGCGGTGTAAAGAACCATGCCCAAGTATTCCAGTGCAGTCCATGTGACCGAGGAGAATGACTGCTGTCCGACCCAGCGGTTGTGAAGCGCGGCCACAAGTAGGAGATCAACACAAAGCACCGCAAAAGTCCAACATGCCATCTGAACACGCTGCATTTGTCGACCCAGGCGCCACAGAACAATGAGGATATGAAGCAAGGTCAAGCACATTGTGAATCCAGCCAACTGGATGAGAATGTAGTGGAAGCTAAACTCCGTGGTGACAGCCTGCGCAAGGTCCAGAAGACAACTGCCTCCCACCAGAACCTGCAGGGGCCGCAGGTCACAAAGGCTTTAGTCTTCGCATTCAGTGCTACAAGTGAGTTGGGTCACAGTCAGCACTTTGCACAGGTCGTGCGTCCAATTCCCATCCAATCCTGCAGCAGGCTGAGTTCAAAGGCCTCTCGTTTGCACAGCTGCCGTGCAGCATGAGACAGCACCTGAGTCGCAAGACCCGAATTGTTGCTGCTAGCGTTCACCAGAGGAATACGCACCATGCTCGTTCCTGAAAGTTCCTGATTTGTGCTGCTGCCCAGTGCACCAAGAAGCAGCAAGCGTCACCTTAACAGAAGCACCTACAAATGCGATCACGCAAGACAAGAAAAACGTTTTGATTCAGTAATCTGTATCGAAGAATGTCATGGGAATTCCGGCCAGGAGGTTTGCACGGGTTCCTCTGCGCCGCCACCGCAAATCCCTCTCCCAAAGTGCCCCTCAACCCTCTTCCTCTCCGCACCCCTCATGCCGGGCAACAACTAGAGGATGGAGGCCATTGCATTATCAAACAGTGTACCCGATCAGCAGCACTGGCTGCACTAGCCGCATGTCAGTGTGGACTAGCAGTGCATGTCGGGAGGTGCCCGCTGCAAGCTGCAGCGATGAAATTCCTGCTCTGCGGTCAGCGATGTGCGGACTGCCCTGCATGAACTCAGCATCAGCATGAGACGCAGCCAGGTCACTGAAGACCACCGAAATGAGTGATATCGCATAGCGCCAAGGCCCTCGGCTGCCAGATGCCTGGCTGCCGTGACGCTGGTTGCTCTTCGTCCAGCAAAGAAACATAAACTGCCAGGCTCTTGCTGTCTGCATGGATTTCATGAGCCGCGTTGCATAATCCGATAGCTCGGTGATGCTGGGAACATCTGATGGCGAACCTTAACGTGGCGGTTTTGAGTGAGGCCGTGCACAGCGCCTCACCAAAACTCAGTTAAGATGCCGTCCAGCATGCAGTATATCTCCTTTGCATTCAGGCGGGCAAGGATGCGTTGATCCACAGGACGCAGTGCATGGCCCCGCTACGGAAGTAGAGAGCTGCTGCCGCGAAACATAATTCACCGCTGCAGATGCCAAACGGACCAGAACGCCAAGGCAAAGCAAGCAGCCGGCATCGAAAGTATCCTTTCGCAGGCCCAAGTGCTCCCAAAAATGATGGCATTCAGTATTGCTTAAAGGCAGATAACATGCTTTGTCTATGTGAACCCGTTTGTTGTTGCCTCTTTTGAACGCTATCTCACTCTGGATCAGAGGAGAGGGAGGGCCAAGTTGGTAGTTCGATTTATCGGGATCCATCAATTAGCAGACCTCCAAATGGCCTCCACTGGACTACCAGGCTTGCATGATGAAGTGTCAACATCGTACACCGCTCCTGGTCTTGGGATGCTCGGGGAAACTCTTTTCAATTGAAATGCCTGACTAGCATTTGCGAAGCACAAGTTGCGGCACGAGCTCTGACAGCGCGATAGGCTGACGACCAGAAAGACATGACGCTTAATCTGGGAGACCTTGAGATCATAGGTGTGTGAACCCATGGGCAGGATGGAGCCAGTTTGTTGTGGAAAGATCTGATGCCAAAGGAACCCTTTGAAGGGGTCTTCAACTCTACTCTTCAGATACTCGGTTGTGTTTGACCGAGAGCAACAGCTCTGATGTACAACGGAATTATTTCTTGGTAAAGCTGCTCCTCGGATGCGTCGTTGTTGTGCTTACTGGTTGGCCCTCTCATTCAGCTCGGTATTAACAAATGCTCATCATTGACACATTGAATGCTTTCCAAACAGATATTTCTCAAGATCTGTGGCTCCTATAACCCCAATCCCTCTCACAAGGACTTCTCTACGAGCCCCTTGCCGCAACGCTTAGGCAAAACGTGCAAGGCTTATTTGGAGCTGTCCTGTAGTCAACCAGCATTTAACAGTCACCTCCTGCCTGCATGCTGGGGCTCAACGGCGCCACTTACCACAATCCAAGGAGACCTGAGTCTTGCAAGTGCAGGACAAGCTAGTTTCCAAGACTCTGTGTAGCTAAGAACCCGGCTGGAGAAGGCCTGATGCGAAGTAGAACGTGGCAAAGCAGCTGGAATTGCCTTAAACAGCACCTGCTCCCTAGTCCAAGAGATGGTCTCCTGGAGAGGGTGCTGTCGGGCACTCTACACTGCTCCACTTTCCAAAGCCGGTCATGCAGCGGGAACGTGCGACAGGCCTTGTTGTGATAGCCCCCCACCTGGTTGATAAATGATCCTATCGTACCAAATGCTACAAAACCCAGCTGCTAAGCCCAAGGAATGGGCTTTACCCAGCAGTCACGACGAGCCTGCACTTTGCTGAAGCCCAACATCCTGGTCGATGCACCTGAGAGAGAAGGAAGAGCTTGTCATAAATGAAGGCACTTACTTTGGATCCTACAGACCATAACAGGGTTCATGCGAAGGGCTCTACATACTTGTAATATAGATATTATCCAACTGTTAATGGGAGGGGGCAGTATCCAACACTTATTGATCAAGGCGTGGCTCTCCCCGCTTGGGCCCCTCCCCCTTCTGGTGTGGCGGGGTGCTCTCAGGGATGGCAGACCAAAAGCCGGCATTTTGCTGAGGTCAATCAGATCTCTCCCCCTGTGGTGTGGAGTTTTGGCGGGCTGAGCTTCTTGAGGTTCACACACCTAAAACTTGCATTTTGTTGATTCACATATTTCCCTGTCTCCCCCCGCCTGTGGATATTTAGGTATGTCCTCGCCCTATGTAGCGTACGCAGCTGTCGTGATTGAAGAACGGGTGACACGGTATTCGGTGAACTAGATTCGGTGAACTGCAGCCGCGCTTTCGGTGGACTGGGTGCAGTTCGCAGTTCGCAGTTCGCACGACGTCAGGGTCGGAGCGGTCGAAGACCACAATGTGGCCGGCCAGATCAGGTGAAGCCAGCTCGGGTCACAAATCGGGCCATCTCAAATGAAGTCGTCTCCAGCTCGGATCAGCTCAGCTCAGTTTGATCAGCTTAGAGGACGGTCAGCTCAGGCTGCCCTGAAGATCCCTGCTGAGCTGAGCTGAGCTTAGCTCAGCTTGGCTCAACTCAGCTGGGCCCAGCTCAGCTCAGGCTAGGTGAAGACCTGAAGACCTTGGTCCTTAAAAGCACCGCTTAATCCAAGGCCTGACCTCGCCTGCTCAGCTCGGCCCAAATCAGCTCAGGCTGGGTCCAAACCTCAGGGCCTTGGTCCTTATCAACTCAGCCCAGGTCAGCTCGGCTTGGGTCAGCTCAGCTAAGCGGCTCGGGGTTTGGATGAATTGCTCCCAGGTCACCTGACCTAGCCTGACCTGAGTTGGACCCAGCTGAGCTGAGCTAAGCTGAGCTGACCCAAGCTGAGCTGGCTGATCTTCACAGGTCAACTCAGCTCAGATGGGGTTTTCAGCTCTGCTTAGGTCAGCTCAGCTCAGCTCAGCTTAGCTCAGCTCGGCCTATCAGCTCTGACCTAGCCTGAGCTGAGCTGGGCCCAGCTGGGATGAGCTAAGCTGAGCTGAGCTGACCTAAGCTGAGCTAGCTGTTCTTCACAGGTCAGCTCAGCTCAGCCGGGGTTTTCAGCTCTGCTTAGGTCAGTTCAGCTCAGCTCAGCTTAGCTCAGCTAGCTCAGCTCGTAGGTCAGTTCAGCTTAGCTAGGTCGGGGTTTGGATAAATTGCCCCCAGGTCACCTGACCTAGCCTGAGCTAAGCTGAGCTGACCTAAGCTGAGCTAGCGGAGCTTGACAGGTCAGCTCAGCTCAGCTCAGCCACGACATTGTCGTTTACTTGTGGTTCTTTTAATATGAA